TCCCCCTCCCCCCTCCCCCTGTCACTTGGCAGGTAGAACTGGGCTGCAAAATCCAGGCCTACTGGCACAGAACTTTTGTTGGGAGCCAATAGGGCCAGGTCTCAACTATAGGAAATACAACCACAACAAAGTGTCCCCTAGGCCAACAAGATGACACAGCAGGTGTAGGTACCTGCCACCAAGGCTGATAAGTTCAATCCCCAGGACCCACCAACTCCTGCAGGTTGTCCTCTGACCTCCACATGCGTGCCGTGGTATACACATAGCCCTACATACATATACACACAAAATAAGCAAATAAATATTATTTTAATTTTTAAAAAATATTTTATTTATTCTTTTTATTTTATGTGTATGAATGTATTGCCTGCATGTATGTTTGCGGCAACATTGAATATCATTTCTCAACTATGTCTTGATCCATACTTGACCTTAATATTTTTAAAAAATATTTTATTATTTTTATATTTTTATGTGTATGTGTGTATTGCCTGCATGTAGGGTAAGTGCACCTGTGCTATGCAATGCCCGCGGAGGACAGAAGAGGCTCTTGGATCCCCTGGAGCTGGAGTTACAGACGTTGTTAGCTGCCATGTGGGTGCTAGGATTTGAACCTGGGTCTTCCGTAAGAACAACCAGTGCTCTTAACCACTGAGCCGTCTCTCCAGCCCCCATTTTAAATTTTTAAAAAATCAATTCTCTCTAAATGCTGAGAGTCCAGAAGTTTCTCCAGGAGCCACGCTGGGAGGGCAGAAGTTGCCCTTTCTTGCCTAGGCCTTCCACTGGGAAAGCAGGTACCCACAGTGGCAGCAGGCGCCTATGGTGGTGTTTGGCAGCTCCTGTGTCCCAGGGGGCAGGTCCAGAACACACCCAGCCCAACCTGCCCCATCCGGTGCTGTGAGAGCAGCCAGGGCACTGGGACCTCTCCTGGTGACTCTGGTGGTCATCTGGGGCCTGACAGAGACTGTGGAGACCCACTGTTCCTTTGCAACTGCCCTCTGTCCACCCTGCCCTCGACACCGTCCTCCATCCTGGTCTGGCCCAGCCAGCCTCTGGGCCTGCCACCCACCCTCCCTCCTGGGTGCCCAGACCATCCTTAAACAGAGGAAAGGGGCTGAGCTGTGACCGAAGCCTGATTCTTCCTGGGCCTTTGGGGGACTGCTATGTGCAGACCCCCGACCCCTGGATTCCATCTTTCCCTCAGTTGCAAGTGCAAAGGGTACTTGCCTGGCCTCCTGGGCCTAAGCTGGGCATGCTGGTGGACACACTGGTGAGCATCCAGGTGCTTTGACGTAGGGCAAGCACGTTAGTAATGAAAATTGTGTGTCTAGGCAAATCTGGTATATGTCATGTGCTGGTTCCTAACAGGATCTTGGGTGCTGGTGAGTTACCTTTCTTGATGAAAAGTTAAAGATGAAAAGAAAAGACGGAGGGAGGGAAGGAGGCAGGAAGTCTCTGCTGCTTTCTAATGGAGCCTCAGTGTTCTCTTCTGTGAAATGGGTCCCTCTAAGGGTGAACTGGTGCTCTCTACACTACAGACCAAGGTGAAGGTTGCTGAGCTGGAAGGTGCTCTGCCCACCCACCTGCATCTGCTCCCCACAGCTTGACCAGGCAGCCATGGAGGAGTGAGGACAGGATGAGGAAGGCTGGATGGGGATGGCCGTCCCTTTCTCTAGGCAAGTCTGGGGACCCTGAATCTCTGAACACCCTCCCACAAGCAGCTGCATCTACAGCAGGCCTCCTTCCCACAGAGCCAAGGAATGTCTCTCTGAGGCTCAGTCAGATCTCCCTGTACTCTGAGAGAAAGAGAGGGAGGGAGGGAGGGAGAGAGAGGGAGGCTGTGTCTGTGTGTCATGTTGGTGTCAGGTGATTCTGTGAGCATGTAGGCAGGCCTTGATACCTGGGTGGCTGCACTGTGGGCCCCAGGGAATCTATATGTGGGAACAGTGGCATGGGCAGGCAGCCAGCTTTGGCCCTGGAGAGTGTGAGGACAGGAACAGCCACAAGTAGAGTGGCTGGTTTGAAGGTGCCCTGGGGTGGGCGGGTGGCCCCTGGGCTAGCTCAGGACCACACCAACTCTAGCTTTCCTCTTCTTTGTCCCCAGGCTGGCCCTGGGGCATGAGGACAGATGGAAAGACCAGGATAGATTTGTCTCCTTCTGCTTGGTGACCCGGGCTCACTTTCCTTTATGGGAACCAGGAGACCGTCCAGGCCTCCTTTCCCCTCAGAATATCATGGTGAAAAGCGGAACTCTAGTTACTGCTGGCCTGGGTTCAAGTCCTGGCTCCACCACAGAACACTGTGCTTGGACCCTCTTCCTGGCCCCTCTGGGCCTTTCCCTGTGTGAGTGGCGTAGACAGATCCTCTGTTGTGCCTCCTGTCCTTTTGCTGTTCCTAGCCCGGTGGCTCTTGAGTCCCAGGGTCACCTCCCAACCCCACCCAACCCTCTGACTTCATCCCCCTTCCATGCTGAGGGGAAAACACAGGCATCAAAGGAAAACCTGGCCCTTTACAAAGAACGGCAAGCAAGCGTCAGGACAGGCAGCTGGGCTGGAATGGCGCCAGGGCCTCTGAGCACCCAGGTCCGAAAGAGCCTCACAGGACCAACAGTGGGTGTGCTGGTATCCCGCCAGTTCTAGGCAGAGGTGACTGGCTAGCTTAGAGACTGGAGCCCAAATATCCAGATGTTGGTGCCTCTTGACCCAGTACTCCTGGACAAGGGTGCTACTGGGTGTAATCCAGACCAGGATCACAGGTTGTCACACAGACTCAGCCGCTTGCCGAGGCAGCCCCAGCTCATGTGACCCTTCTCAGCTGTGTATATGGAAGGAACGAGCATTTATTATGCACCTCCTGCTTGGTGCTCTTGGTTGTCTCTGCCTCAGCATGACCCTCATGAGAGGAGACAGAAGCCTGAATTCTCTGTCGGGATCAGTACCACCTCTGGTCACAGTGTCTCCCCTCTGGACCCCCAGATTTTCTCCTTGGCCCTGAGCAGCAGCACCCACCTCCCCCAGCAAAGCACCTTCCAGCCTTTGATCAGGGTGCCCTTCCTACAATGAGCCACTGCAGTCATGCTGTCTCCCCCAAGGAGGTTCGGGTGCCCAAAAGGAGCTCAACTGGGGATCTTGAGCCCCTGAGGTTGCTGCTGTCCTGGCCCTCAGCCTCTGCCCCTCCTGAGGTGAGGTCTAGGCACCGCCTCCAGTCTATCTAATGGCAGGTTTGGGCACAGGCAGAGCCTGTGGCGAGGTGGTGTGGGCGGCTGTGGGCTACAGCTCTGCTCCTTGCCCGCCTGCCAGGCATGTGGTCCTGGCTGGGGACAGCTCTGGCTCTGTTCTCTGAGCAGTGGGAGGCAGGCTGTTACCACAGCGGACTGAGAGCTGGAGGCAAGCCCAGAAGCAGAACAGGGCA